CCCGCCCCCCCCAATTTTCCCCACAGGCCCCCCCCCCCCCCCCCCCCCCCGGAAAAAAACTTTATTTTTTTTTTAAAAGGCCCCGTGGGTGTTTTTCTTCTGGGGGGGGGGGGGGGGGGGGGGGGGGGATCTTGGATTTCCGCTTAATTGTCACTTCTTAAGTTAGCAGGTGTGTTAGCTGGCACCCATTAAGTCAATAACAAAAGCGGTGGCTGCAGTTTACAGTTTCTGAACGTGAGTTCGTGGAATTAGCCTCCTGACTGCAGGTAAGGTCGCTGCTTTCAAACTATTTAGGGAAGGATATCCTGTTCTAACCTCATCAAATGGGAGGCCCTTCCCTTATTATTGACCTAAACCGAAGCGCTGTGACACTTCATTTTGGGCATGAAACAACCGCTCCACCTCGAATTCACCTTAAGCGGGTCTGGATCGGTTACGGTTTATATACAAAGTTTTACATCTGAGCCGAATATAAAGTATCCGTGCGGTAAGAGGGAATGCATACCCTCTCCCCTCCCCGAGAAATCCCCTTGCTAGACCCATCTCTGCTTTTTCTGTCCCAAAAGCAGTTTGCCCTGCAATTTTCTGGATCAGCACAGACTGATCTACTAAGGAGGGAGGCCAGGCCGACATCTATAATATTGGTCTAACAGAACTTTAATCATATCAAAAACTAAACTTATATACAAGGATGAATACTTGCAGGAAAGCTAAACATGATGTATCACTCACTTGAAGATAGCAATAACTGCAAAATATAATTCTAAGGTGACGCTTACTGTGAATCAGTGAAGCATTATCACATTAGTGTATACTAATTACATTCCTATAGCAAAATTTCTTCATATGTAGCTGTATGTTTAGTTATCTAAGTTAAATGTAAATGTCCATCAATTTGTTCCAGTCCTCATTACGGGTCATTAATACACATTGTTATTAACGCTAGGCTTCACGATAAGTGAAGATTTTTTAGGAGTCAGTAAACTGTAATCTATTCTAAACCTTTTTAGGTTTTAGTTTTTTTTGGTTTGTTACAATCACACCCTCAGTGTTGCTATGTTAAGCTATAGTAATGACCAAACAAATTTCTCTTCTCACAAAAACCCACACTATTATTATGAAAAACAAAACAAAACAAACAATGTATAAACGGAAACATAAGAGGTACGAGATTGCTTAGAAGCTACCTGATTGCCGAACTAAAAAAAACCTAACTTCTTTTTAAAAAACCGAAAATATAATGTCAAAGAATGTAGCTCAAATAAATTGCTGTTCAGAAAAGTGTATTTACAAATGCTTAGCTAATAGCTGCATACGTTATCTTTAGTTTGTCTTTAGTGCTATGTTTGAATACTGTATGCTGCAAATGTTTAACATCTTTAACAGTTATGTTGTTACCCACGAGGTCTAACGTGTTTAGTTTGCAGTTACTGTGTGTGAGTGCTGTAGATAAATGTTCAACACCTTCAGAAGTTATGTTGTTATCCCTAAGGTTTAAGCTGTTTAGTTTGCAGTTAACGTGTGTGAGTGCTGTAGATAATTGTTTAACACCTTCATCAGTTAAGTTGTTACCACCGAGGCCTAACCTGTTTAGTTTGCAGTTAGTGTGTGTGAGTGCTGTAGATAAATGTTTCACACCTTTATCAGTTATGTTGTTATCCTCGAGGTTTAAGCTGCTTAGTTTGCAGTTAGTATGTGTGAGTGCTGTAGATAAATGTTTCACACCTTCTTCAGTTATGTTGTTATCCTCGAGGTATAAGGTGTTTAGTTTGCAGTTAGTGTGTGTGAGTGCTGAAGATAAATGTTTCACTCCTTCATCAGTCATGTTGTTAGTCCAGAAGTATAAGCTTTTTAGTTCGCAAAAACCCTGATTGTGTTCGTTGCCAGGTAACAACTTCGCAATCTCAATACATCCTAGCGACTGAAGGTTGTTGCGGCTTAAATTAAAATCCAAAATTCCTTCAACATTTTTAAGTGCATGCACTAATGCTAAACAGTCGAGAGGTGACAGGTTAAACTGACTAAAATCAAGCGCATTACAACCAATTTTCGCCAGTTTCTTTTGAACTTCTCGACCAGAAGCATTGTTCTCATACATGCAATTGAAAAGCGTCACCACAAAAGCCTTGTCTTCATGGTCGGCTGGCCAAAATGTCCGTGTTTCGGTTCGTTCCTCTAAATCTTCAGTCATCTCGATTTTGACTTCTTTAGTAATAGTTTTTGAGGGCAGAAGGTTGCTGAAAATATCTGTTAATTGTCCTTCCTTTTCAGCCAGCAGTCCAGCCACAAACTGCATCACAACCCTCCACGCGCCATCCTGGATGTGAGCGGAAACAAAGGTCCCCAGTTCTTCGGAACACGACGTGTCTACCAAATACTTTGCCGCCAAGAATTCCTGTATCGTCAGGTGTACAAAACAATATTGTTTCCTTCCTTCTGCTAAAGGACGGTCTCTAGTGTCAGGTAAACGGTGAAACAAGCCATTACTCTCTAGGTCTTTAACTTCGTGTGATTCAAAAATTAGTCTTCCCTCTTTAATTCCATCAAAGGCAATTTTTCCCAGACGTTTGAACATCTCTTGCACAGAGGAAGAAAGTTCCTTAAACGGCTTAAGAAAAAACTGTTGACCTTCAGCTTTATTGTGGCGATATTGAAGATCATCATAGCTAAAGTAAAACATCCTTACGGCAACTGAGTATATTTCTGTCAGTTTCGTCGGGAGGCTGGTAAAGCCAGTGTTACCAAGCAACTCTAACAAGCAACTACAAATGATGAAGCAATTAACAGGAACGTAGCAGAAGGCTACAAGGTTTAAGTTCCTGGTGATGTGCTGCTTTATGGTTTCCGCTTTGTCCTCCTCCTTTGTAAACTTCTGTACATAATCATTCACTTGCTCAGTTGAAAATCCCAGTATTTCAACTGTTTTGTCAAAGTGAAGACTTGTGATAAATCGTACGGCATTGGGTCTTGTAGTGGTTAAGACTGTCGCACCTTTTAGAATTTTTCCCGATACTATTTTCTTCAGTAGAAAATGGACAGGCATCCTTTCTTCTTCATTGTTTCTGTAACGAACGTCATCTTTATTTATTTCAGTCCTACCAGAATATTCGTCAAGTCCATCAAAAATCACCAATACTCGCTCTTGGTCTTGACGGATGTAGTTCCAGTAATCTTCGGAAAGAGCTGTTGAATACTCTGAGTGATCAAGTAGCTCGCGAACATTTAGTTCTTTGTTTGTAGAGTTAAACATTCTCAACTTAATGAGAAAAGCAGCTTTAAAATCCATTTGTAATTTTTGTGATCCGTTCAATAAGTTATCACAAGCCCAGTTGCGAATAATCTTTGTGCTAAACATAGTTTTTCCAATTCCAGGACGACCGACAACAAGAATCTTCCGCTCTTTAGCATTAAAAATATCTCCTGGCAGTGTTGGCCGCAAATTTTCATTGGCTTTGAGGTATTCGTTTAGTTGTGCCACTCTGTCTCCAGAAAAGTCATACTTAGCTCTCCCCCTGTAAACAGTCAAATTGGTGAAGATTTCGTCAAGCTTCAGATCTCTTCTAGGTCCTTCGCCTGGATAATGGAAAGGTGATTTAAGATCTCCGTAAGGCTGTTCAGTGACTTCTTGGACATGTTTCTTCATATCTTCGATGAAGGAAGCGGCTAATTGTTGTTCGTTTGTTCGAGTGCGGTTGAATGAGGAATCAAGTGAAGCGTTGCTGGATAAAGCGGTTGATGGTCGCCTTTCGGTTGGACCGTCCTTATACTCACGTTGCTGCAGCCCTGCCGGAAAAACAATCACTTAACATTATTTACTTGAAAAAGTGGTTAACTAAAATATCACTATCAAATAAGAATAGCATGGAAAAGTATATTTCAGAATAGTAAGCCATCAAACATGAACTACTAACAATCTCAAATCTTAGTCAAGTGATTTTACCATTTAACCCATTCGCCCCTGAACCGCCCGTAACCGCCCGTGCGGATCCAGGTCCTTTCTACCCATTGTGACGTCATCAGTTTTAACGGCCAAGGACAACTTTCTTCACTAACTTGTGCAGAGTGAAGAGATCTTTCAAACCATACCAGAATGAGCACAATTCAGTCAAGGACACCGGAGAAACAAGCAAAAAACCACGTGACATTGACCTGAAAATCTCCATGAAAATCTTGTCCCATTACCCACCTACCTTTCCTTTCGCCTAATCCTAAGATCCTAAAAGCTTTCCTAAAAACTCTTCCCACCAAAATCAAGCCTACTAAATGCCCAGCAAGAGAAAAAAAAAATGAGGCAAGAAAAGCAAAAAAAGAAGGGAGGAGAGAAAGCGAAAAGTAAAAGTCAAGACTGCTGTGTCACTTTTAAACCCAAAAACTGTCGAAATTTTGCTTTCTGCGCATGCCCGAACTTCGCAAGCTGATATTTTGCATCTGGATCGGAAGACCGCGAAGTGTTCGACCTGTAAACCAGTTTGTGGTAAGTTTTAGCTCTTTATAGCACGACAGTGACCAGAAAACCACTCGACTAGCTTCAAAACGCGTTTTTCGGCAAAATCTCTAGGAGCGAATGGGTTAATAAATAATTATTGGATGAGGTTTTTGTGATATCCGGAATAATCAAGGTCGAGGTAAGTGTTATCAGAAGAGCCGAAGGCTGAGAATGATAACCCTTACCGAGACCTTGATTATTTAGGACATCAGAAAAACCGAATCTAATAATTGTTTTATTATACATTGTTTTGAAGAAAATAATTAGCGGTTATTCCTCGAGCCTGAATTGGCTCTGAGTCAATAGCCCATGAGGCCAAAGGCTAAATGGGCTATTGACTCAGAGGCCATGAGGGCGAGAGGAATAATTGTTTTAGTAAAATCCAACTAGTTGATCAAAAATATCGAGAATAAAAAAATTTTAGCTAGCTAGAGCTAGATTTTAATCCTTTTTGGCCGCCAAAAAGCCGGCGCTTTTCGCTACTAGTGGGCTATAACATATAGCCTAGTAGTAGCTCAACCAATCAGAACGCAGCACTGATAATAGACCACTAGTTGGATTTTACCAACGGCAAACACACAGTCGAAAGGAACCTGAATTGATATAATTTGTTATCGGAAAGCATACATTGTGCACGCAACCTACAGATTAGTCAGTTACCTGCTAGAAGATACTAACTAATCTGTAGGTTGCGCTGATTTCCAAAATTAGCTGTAGGTTCTCAGCTAATGAGAAGACAGATAGTGAGTACAATGTACAATAACAAAAAAAACCCGACAAAATGACAGATTGATACATCATGATGACATCAAAATCGTTCACATCAGGGTTAGTGTTTTTATCATGCCTATCACAGGGTAGCCAGCGTAGCTAGTGGGATTAGCGTGGGAATGCTGTTTAGTGCGTACAAAATCCCTCGTGTTGCACGTGGCAGCTCTGCCGCCAAAAAAGTACCGCCTGCACAAGAATCCCGCCAGCTACACAGGCTAATCACAGGGAAAAGAAGAAATCCTCCATTAAACATTCTGATAACATTATGATTATACTGTCACAGGAAAAGATAAAATATGGTATCATGATAAAAATCTTACACAGAATATTAAAAAGAAATTCAGTGATAGAGCAAGTGATAAATCAAAATATACCGATTACTGACAAAGCTTACAAGAAACATGGGTTGTGGGGGCGTGCCATGTGGTTTGTTGAAATATTCGTTTATCTCCACCTTAAACAAAATCCAGGCTTGGGAACACATTCACTACTGGAACCAATCACACCAATAGTAGGCATTGTTTGACAACACTTATCAACAACACGTATATGAGTTGCACCACTTCAACCTAAACTTACACAATTTAAACAAGTGGTGTGCATTAGTCTGTGTACAGACACCCTTCCCCTCAGTAAAAAACAGAGAAATGGAGGGGGGGAGGGGGGGGGAAGGGGTCTGTACACAAGCTAGGTGTGTATTGGACACCTCAATTTGGGATGGAACATGTATGTACCCTCAGTGTACATGTATATATACCCTGTAGCTTATCTGTGACTGTACTAAGTAACCCATCAATGGTTTCAATAAATCATATGCCCTTTATGAAAATGATTACCTTGATAATGAGGCCATGAATGAAAAAGACAGGGTTCATTCAAAATGTGTGCAACAAGAGATGCTGCCATCACACTTGCACAGGATGACCATCTCTCAGAAGCAAACTGAGAGCCATCTGCATAGTCAGCTATTCCTTTCACAATTAACCACTCAATTCCACAATCAAATGCTGCTGCAAATACTCCTGTACGAAAACAATACAAACAGTACATCAGTTTTAAGACAGTCCTGTGTACATGCACAAGAAAAATTGTGTGGAGCTCAGAGACATCATGCAGCTGCTATTGCTTAATGAAAACTTGCCAACAGAATTAAACTATTTACCTTAAGCATCAAGTTAAAGTAAAGTTAAGATTAAAGTTTATGTAGTTTTAAGGGTACAAGTATCCTATTCTATGAACAGTTAACTGGGTTAGTGTGGCTTTTTTCCATAGAAATCTCTTAAATTTAAATCAGTTTAAATCAATCACAACTACACAGACTATAAACCAAGAACTAAACAAATTTCCAGAGTATGGAAAAACAACAGCAGCCATTTTTTATTAAAAGGACTGTTATGTCTGTTATGCGTATGGGACCCACATACTCAAAAGCATTGCCACTATATTGAAGGAGTACAGGGGCGAGCTGCCAGATTTCTAAAAAACTGCTATGAGTGGAAACCCGGTACAGTCACTAATCTCCTGAACTATTTGAACTGGCACTCACTAGAACTGAGACGCAAAATTGCACAACTTACAACCATGTACAAAATAGTGAACAATAAAATCAGGGTCAATATTCCAGAGTACACTGCACGCCCAACCTGTATGTGTTACCTGCTCTTACCATAGCAGCAAGTTTATAAACACTGATAGTAACAGCAATACCTATAAGTACAATTTTTTTACTAGAACTTTAAAAGAATAGAAAACTTTACGTTCCTTTTTATTAGATCAGCCTTCTGTGGACGCATTTAAATCTGCTGTTACTAATAATTAGTAATTAATTAAAATTATTATTATTTTAATCTCAATCATTGATTTTATACATCATTTTATTTTATTATTTATTTATTATTATTATTTATTATTTTAATATTTATTTATTTATTTATTTTGCACATTCACAGTGATGGGAAACCTTTGTGAATTATAACATATAAATAAATGTGTAATATTTAAAATCTCAATGATAAGTGATGGTGAGGTGCCTGCGAGGCTTATTGACCTAAGATGCTGCCAAGTGCAGCACATAACCTTGACAACCCTGTGAGTGGCATCCACCCAGGCACAATCTCACTGCTTACCAGTGGAACATTAGGGTCGCATACTTAACATATACTTTCTACAGGGAGGCAGGGTAGGGAGCAGAACATTTCACAAGCATAAGCAACATTAAGTTTACAAAAATAATGGCATGACCTTAACAGAGAAGTTTTAAATTCTCAAAGTACCCTGCGGAGTAATTAAACACCACCATCAACCTCATACAAAAGGCTGCTGGCCAGCAAGGTGTTGAATTTATTTAATATTTTACTCCATCTTTCCACCTCAAGTAAAGCTCTAAATGTTATTACCATTCTTTAAACCCAAATCATGCTGATTCATGACGAAAATTAAGGGAAAAAAGGTTTACCTTTTATAGAAGGTTTCAGTTAACTTTGTATACATTTTTGTTCAATTATTTTATCCTTATGGTTTGTATTTTCTTTTACTTTATTTATGGTGATGTATGATAATGAGTTTAAAACAAAGGAAAATAAAATTTAAACCAAGTATAAAGGTGAACCATAAGATATGAAAGGAATGTGTCTTTCCAGAAAATATCCATAACTTCTCCATGGATCATCAATGGAAATTCCATGGCGGAGGGGGAGAGGGGTTAAAATGCCAAAAATTCCAAAGGGCAGGGGATGTTTAAATAAAATAATATTTTTCCAGAGGGTCATGAAAGACTTGCAATAATCATTTATGTACAGCGCACTTACGTATAAATATTATTATGTTGTAATGACAAACAAAAACAACAGTCAACTTACCTTCTCCTTCATTTTCCATTGCTATTGCCTGAGGATTTGTTTCAGCAAGTTGATCACGTCGCTGTTCTGAAATGACTTGTTCTGGTCCAGTCAGAAACTCAGCGGCAGTATAAACTTGAACTTGTTGAGCATCAGCCAGGTTCTTCAAAGGTGCTTTCCAGCCATCAGCACAATTCTTAATGACATTCAGGAAACATTTGCTCACATAATTTCTCATGCCAGTTGAATGTTCTTGATTACTGATCACCACTTTGGATGCATATGTTGTTAATTTGGCAGAAACAACAACATCTCCTAACTTGCATTTCTCAGGGTGAAGACTGCTACATGTACCAACAGATATAACTGCTTTAGGTTTTAGCACAGTGGCCGCATTCTTAACAGAGATGAGAGAACCACCAGGGCCAGCACTATTTTCATAACACTTTAATAATGCGACTTTAACTTTCTCTTGACTTCTATCCACATCAGAAAAGTAAACATATCCAAGACCATCAAAGTAACATCTATAGGGGTTCTTAAGCTCACTGTAGCAAGCTAAGAACTCACAATTCTTCACTGTCAGTAACAGAACATCAACAGGGAGATCAGCATCTTTTGAAGGTTTGGTTGTTGTAGTGACATCAGCCAAGGAAAGGAGAACTTTATTGACCTCAGGAGGGCTCCTAATGGGCTTTTTTGCATTGCTTGCAGTATTGTTTACACAAGAAGGGAGACGGCTGGTAAGCTGTGGTGCAGAACCATCACTTCCGTATGAACTTCTAGTTGTATCCTCTGGGAAAATGGTGGTAAGCTGGGGTGAATTGCCATCACTGCCCACTGATCTGCTAGTTGAATGCTCTGAAGATGTTAATGTCTTGGATCCTAACCAGTGCAATTAAACAAATAATGAATCAAGTGAAGATAAAAAAAGAGAATTAATAATGATAATATTTTCAACAATAGAGAGGAGAAGTGCGATGTCACATTACCATGGAAGCAAAATTTTTGGCAACAAAAGGGAGCTTAGGCAATGACAGTGGCAACGCCAAGGAGAACGGGAAAAAGAAATAGTATACATTAGCAAAACAACAACTTTGCATGTGCATGACACTTTTTTGTACATTTCTTAGCCATTGTTGCATGACTGCGACATAAAATGTCCTAATTTCACGCACCCGCTTCCTGAGGTAGGTGAACACAGCAAAACAATTTCCTTTTTCTTTTTTTTAACTTAGATACGGTCCTTTCGGAATCAACCCCAGAAAATTTCACCAACATTTGACAAATTAAGTGAAATTGAATAACAGTGCAAATTCACATTTAAGAGACTTAATTTTTCGGTTTGTCGTCATCCAGAAATTTTGCTACCATGGCAACATGACATAACGACTTCTCCTCTCTATAGTATTTAATGACAAGAATGTGGTGTTCTAGCGACTGCAAATACAGTGTGAGAAACTGGATCTGGCCACTTTTGCCACTGGCACTATATGAGATAAGTAGCTGCCTAGTACAGAGCTGGTAGCATCTCACATAGCCTGAGAAAACAGCTGTCATTTGGTTTTCCCCATGAAATGACGTCTGAGAAACAAGAGTTGAAATTTCATTCTGATGATGTATCACTACTCAGATCTGTGTAGTGCTTCTGATTGGTCCTGATGTGTGGTAAATTTGCTTCAACCAATCAGAAGCACTACCCAGATCTGGATAGTGATGTGTCATCAGTATTGAATTTCTATGCTCGTTCCTTGGACTTCTTTTTACGGGGAAACCAGTGGTGGCATCACAAAATGTTGGCTGTCTTCTCAGGCCTCATATAGCGTCAAATTAATACTGGAAATAAACACAATATCATTGTACCACAAGGAATATTATATTATTGCTTTTTACTCATCAGTACTATATCATGGCAATAACCAATTAATTAGGTATTAAACTTCTCTTTTGCTGTGTCTACTAATGGGCTTAGATATACAGAAAACATGTAATCAAACTAAAACAAAATAAAATATTACTCCATGATAAAATACTTGAGAGTTTAAAATCCTGAAGTTTTAGCATAAACTTCAGCATTTATTGTGCAAATTGGCAAAACCACACCTTCTAGAATCATCAGAGATGGTACATGTATTCATTTGTGAGTGGTAATTTGACTGTTAAAAAACAAGGGTTAATTAGGTAAAACTCTGCATTTTTCTAACATGCCTCTTCAAGTTGTTTGTTAAAATTCTTATTACTTCCCTTTGATAAAGGCATGATCATATCCCATATTTTTGCACATTTTTTCCGACGACCTTTCTCGAAATAGCCGTATGTATATAAATTCTGCAAACATAATTCCCACAAGTCCAAAAAAAAAATACCAGGATGTTTGTGATTGGAAAGAATGTTTTACCTTGTCTGGGCTGAAGGCTAACATAGTGTAACTCGTGAATGTGTCCCAACACAAGGGGGGTGGTGTTGGCAAGTGCATGATCTGGCTGGACAACTATCTCATGGTCGAGACTGCTGATAATACGGATGGGAGTTTGAAAGTGATTCGCTGCAGCAAACAAAACCACATGATCGCCCCAAGTACCGTCTTTCGCCATGCTTTCTAAGTATTCATGCCAAGATGGGTATCCAGAGACAAAGTTAAGCAAAGATGTCCCTTCGTGCTAAAAAACAAAAACAATCAAACAAATGAATTTCAATTTTTTCTGAGTAATCGACATAGACATGGAGTGATTTTAATCTGCTAGAAAGTATATTTAAAGGCTGCACACTCTCACTGATTGCCATAATTGCGTACAATGTTCAATGGGGAAAGTTTATCGAGGACAGCTTAAGAAAAAAATGTTAATAAAGCCGGGAAAATTGCATGCTTTAGTATGGCTAAAAGGAACAAACAATCTCCGATTAGTTCCCACAATGGATCTGCCAAGGGTATCGTAAATTTTTATTGCTGATACGCGATGCATGACTTTCACTTTCCACACCTTTGCTCACATTGTCTAGTATACAATGCCAGGCTTACATTATAGATGTCCATGCTTGTTTGCATGACTTCTGAAACATTTTTGCCTTTGTTAACAGTTTTTCTGAAACTTCTCTTGAGAAACTTTCCCAATTAAATGGGCTACTCAACAACGGCAAGCGATGAGGAAACCTACGTCATGTAAGAAAACACCAGAGTCACCTGGCTGTTCCACTTCGCTGATTGGCCAGAAATTTTTTTTTCTGGCCAGTCAGAAGCAGGCAATTCAAAAGCTTCTGGAATTGGTGTGGTAAGAGTAAGTGCCCAGGGGCTCATCTCAATCTTACAGTAAACTTTCACCACAAACATTATATTATCCCAACTAGCTGCCCCTGTGTCTCCGAGGATGTGGATGCCATCACTTAATATGCTTTGCTGTTACTAAGTCAATAATTAATAGTCCTCATTTTTTGACGTAGGAAATCCCCAGGGAGTACTCCCTTACATTAACCTTATAGCTATTGCTCTGAAATAGTGCTAAGATTTGGAGAGCTGGACAGCACACCCCCACTATGACTTTGCAGAAATACCCCCTGGGGAGAAAATAGATGGTATTTTGTAAACTGGGCTCCGCTTGAGGCAGCCCTGATAATGAATTATTTAGATTCTCTCCAAAATTTTGGAAGTAGTTTTCAGATGGAAATGATACTGTTGACAGGGATTTAAAAAAATTTCACCTGGGTCACCTGTAACCTTAGATGGCGACAGAAGGCGACTACCGGTATTTCAAGTCATGATGCATTTGTGTGATGACTGTCACCAAGACAAGTGACCTAAAATGCTTGTGTTTGGTTGTTCTTACCCTCCAAGTTTCGCTGTCAAAGCTTAAGTATTTCAGACTAAACACAAAGAGGTGGGTGATTTCAAAGAAGATTGAGAGAGCCTAGTCTCAATCCCATAATACTTCAGTTCTTTTTTGTTATGTTCAATCCCGGCTTTTATCCAATTTAGTTTAGCAGAAACGTCAAACTGAGTTAAGGGATCAATTATTGGCGTGATACAATTTAAGGAACAGGTGTAGGGCAGTAATTAGCAATGATATGAAGTAATTAAGAATAGGACGAGCTGGGTGATATAAGAGTATAAGTCATAGATAAAGCTGGGACTGACTCACTAGTTCTCGCACGGACAGCATGGTATGTTTAGTTCCTTATCATATGAGGGGAGTCCGCCAAACAGACAGGGAAGGCCTGTGCCAAGAGTTTTTGTCTTAGTTAGGCTAGTCATCAACTTACCAGATTAGGGTTCTCATCGAGGAACTGAACCAAGGTTTTTCTTAGCTCTTTGTGTGAGATTTGAATTCCTTTGACACTTTGTAATTGTTCTGATAATGCATGGAATAAACAGTTCCCAGAAGCTTGGTTATCAGAAACAAAGAATCCTTTCTTGGCAGCAATCGTTCTTAGATCAGATGGTAGGTTGGTTTTTTTGCTAACCTGCTCTGCATCACATTGTAAATTTTGTAAAGATGGAAAAACATTCCAAGCTGAAAAAAAAAAAAAAAGGTACTTAGAATCACATTTTCCATTGTTTTGTAGGGGTGTAGTGGTCATGGATATTGATAATTTTTGGGATCCTATTGCAGTGATTAATTTAAAATAATCCTCTGAAATTGACATCAACTAGTTTTTTTATGATAAGAGAATTAGCAAGATTTTAATAATATTATTTGCTTAATCCATAGTTCTCAGTTAGCTTGTTGATTTATTTTGCAGAGCGCAGTGCAGACTGGTTAGTATTTTGTGTTCTGCTTAACCAATATTTCACATACAACGCAATAGGGTCGAACAGAAGGGAACATATTGCATGTTGGGCAGTTGTTATGCCCAAAATATTTTGCAGCAAACTGTCTCAATAAGAGTAAAGACACTTAGCAATACACTTTTGGTAGCTTCAAGGCATGTCAAAAAGGAAAGGCCTCACGTCAAGTTCAAAGGTGGCACTGATCAAAAAAGTCTTTGCTTGAGCTCCCTAATAGCTTTCCTCTGAAACATTTAAATGAATAAAATCAACAAAGGAATTTCTTTAATTGGCTTTCATTAGTTTTCTCGCAATTTTGGCACTTTTCAGGCATAATGAGATCCAATCATTTGTACATGAAAAGTACACAAATGTGCACATGTTCACACATGCCACATATTCTTTATTCTTTTCTCTCTCTCCCTCCAAACAATATTTTTGGGAGATTTGAGAACTCTAGAAGTTGAAATGTTCTTGAAGTTATGGAGAAAAAGTGAAATCCTAAACCAGTTCGAGGCAGATTGAAGCCAACTGTTCGGCCTTAGCGGTATGCATACATGCAAGTGAACCTACAATGAGGGACAAAAGTGTTGAGACACTTTCCATAAATGACCCCTTTTTGCATAATGGACATACCTATCCCCTTCCCCTCTGTACCCCAACCCCTTCCCTCCAAAAACAATGTTGTATTTTGGACCCTCAAGTCTTTCTTTTACTTCAGACAACATTGATTTGGGGGGTGAGGGGATTTATGGCATTTAAAAGGAATGAAATAATAGATGAATGAAATTGTTGATAAAAGCACCCATTTTAAACAAGTGTGTCAACTACTTGTGTCCCTGATTGTAGCTATCGTTCATCCACGCTTACGTAAGCCAAGACATATTCAAAGGATGTTAACAATTTTAATGTACAAATCTAACACTTTTGAACAGCAACATCATTCAAGAAGCTTATTATTATTAAGTCATCAGGGATACCTTCAGGGTCTACAGTTGTCCCATCTGTTCGCTGAGAAGCTTTATCAGTGGATGCAAAAATTCTGTGCTTTGTTTCTGAAGAGCTCTGGTAATCTAAGGAATCATCTGTTGACAAAAAAGAGTAGATAACAACAGGCTGTTTTGGTAAATGTGGATAAGCCCATAAGCCAGTGAACTGGAGATAAAACATATGATATATGGTTTGGGTCAATATTACTTTACTTTGTTTGCTTACATGTAACACAAAACTTAGTAATCGCTTTTCTTCACAATCTCAGCTAGGACAAAAAGGCAGCAGATATTACTCAAATTTGGTTTTGTTTGTTTATTTTCAATTCTTATCAGAGCCCACATTCTATTATTCCTTTTGCAATCTGTTAAGAATTTTTTTTTTTCATAAAAGGAAAATTGGCATTCATACCGTACACCCAACTGATTATCGTGTCAATGAGATCTTTTATCTGTTTGGCCCAGTTGTATTTCTTGCCATAGGATTCGCACAAGGTTTCTGCTTCCTCAAGCCGACTTCTCCTGTCCTTGACCAAGATTGTTTTGATAGCAGAAGCCCAATCTGCTGGTTCCTCTGAGTTCACTACAAATGTTGATCCAAAAGGTACACTGTGTAAAGCTTTTCCAAAACCGGAGTTGCAGCTGACGAGCACAGGGAGACCAGCCGACAAGGCCTCCAGTCCTGTCAGTCCAAAGCCCTCTGTTCTTGAAGGCATGACAACAAGATCTACTTCTTGAAACAAGCGCCTTAGACTCTCTCGATCTTCAACAAATCCTCTTACTCTCAAGCGACTTGCAGGGACACCACATCCAGTTAACCGTTTTGCTATTTCTTCGTGTTTTCCGTCTGGAGCTCCAACAAAGACAAGACGAGTATCTTCTAACTCAGCAATCGCTTTCCCAGCGATGTCAAATCCTTTCAATTTGAAATCCTCTACATCTCCACGACCAAACACCAAGACACTGCGTTGTTGCCTTTCACTAGGAGCCTGCTTCACAGTCGTAAACTCTACGAATACTCCCGGAGTGAAGTCAACAAGATTGTCATCTTTTTGACAGCTGCGAAGATAAGAGCGAAAGGCCTCACTCAACTTGGGACCAACCCCAACAACATGATCCGCCATTTCACACAGTTTTACTTCCATCTTGTGCTTTTCCTCGCCTTTTGAAATTGGATCTGAATAGTTCTTGAACATTCCAAGTTCCTCTGGATCTGTGTGCACCACTTGAACCCATTTGCACCTTTTAGATCTTTTAATGATTTGAGCCTGTTTACCGAGTTTAACTCCATGACCTATGATAATATCCATTTGCAAATCTTCAGGTGGAAAGCAAAGCCAATTAAGTTGATCAAAGCCAGGCAGTGGTGTTGCCTCAACGACCTTTACGTTATGCTGCATGGCTACCTTCTTGTCCTCTTGACTGCATTGAGGTAAAAAGAAAGTGATTTCCACTTGAGGGCATTTGGCCAACTGAATGGCTAACTCCCTGTTTATGGTGGAAAGTCCCCCTTTGCTTGATCCCCATTCAGAAGCCAAAATAGTGACTTGCACCTTGCGGGAATCATCTGCTCTGCAATCCCGTGACTGGGGTTCCCATAAAGAAGATGCCATAGCCAAACATCAAAGTTGTCATACATCTTTAATGAAAAGTAAACAAAGAGAATTACCTATACAGTACCATTCAAAAGTAAGTTGACAGTCTGTTGCGAGTCTTGATTCTTGACTCGATTCGGGATTCTCGATTCCTGCGTGAATCAAGAATTGAGAACAAGCTATCCAGAATTGAGTCGAGGATCGTGTCTCGCAGGACAGAAAACAAAAGATTCACCCATGACTGATTTCTTGATAATTTTACAAAGACAACACAGCATGGTTATATTTGTGCAAGTGACTGTATGCTCGAAACAAGACCAATTCACACTTAAATATACCAAACCATACTTATAACACTAGGTCTCAATCATCTTTTATAAATCCAAGCTCCAAGGGTAACATCTACGTGAACAGTTTCTTCCCAAGAACCATAAAAGATTGGAACGCTCTAGCATTAAATATTAGGAAGAAGGAGACTTTGGACATTTTTAAATGCACTGTTCGGGAACAGATTTTATCTATTTAATTACATAATTCTATTTATTTGATTATTTTATTTATTTATTTATTTTATTATTTACCTTGGTGCGATGGGGAACCTTTGCCAAGTATAGGTATAGAAATAGAAATAGAAATTCAAGTTATATGAAGGGAATGTTTCTTTAAGGACATCTGTATCAAGCTTCATTTCCTCAAGTAAAGTTTCAAATGCCTGCTCCAAATGCAAACAAACAGTGTATACTCATGAACAATCAACAGCATTGTTATTTCGTAACGCCAAAAGATTTTGGGCTTATCCCACCTGGTTTGATAAAGATCAGCTGTAACATACACATCCATAACATAACTAATCTTTTGCTATGAAATTGTGTTCATGATCCTTGAAAACTTTAGAGAAACAATGGTTTTCTTCTAGTACCAAATTTAGCGTATTCTTTAAAGTTTGAGGTAATCTCTCATAAAATTTGGCTGCTTTTTTTTCTGTGACAGAACATGATATGCATGAACTTTTTTGTTGCCTAGCACATAACAAAGTATGTCCACGGTGAGATAAAAAATTTTTTAAATTTTACCTGCCTTTTAATTGTGGCATGTTGTTTGGATATATCACTTTAAGGCTAGAATAGACATTTTGGCAACATTTACCCAATTTTAAACTCATAGGCCATGGAGCAGGTGGGGCAGGGGGGCTTACACTTTGGTGCCAAAAAACACTTTTAGGGAAGTATTTGACATTTCCTGTGACATTGGCGACTTCAGAGAACACTCTTCCTGCCCTCAGATGACTCAAGAACTACCTAAGAAGCACTATGACGCAGGGTTGAACAACTGCCTACAGATGCATTGTCACAAATCAATTATGGACACACTAGACACTGTGAAAATTGGATAGAGGTTTGCTTGTGCAAACTAAAAACGCCAAGGGTATTTTGGAAAATTTGAGTAGGGGTTTTGCGCATAGCTGAGTGAAAATCTTCAAATTGATAGATCATTCTTTGCGTCCTATAGGACGCATGCCATGAATCATTTTACGTCTTTGAGGATTTTTATGTGTCAGGGATGCAGGACGCAGAGGTAACAAAATCACTGGTTACTAATTATTGAATTTCTTCTTTTGCTGTGTCCATGGATACACTTACTGACTGATAAATATATTTCAAAAACTTGTTAATAATTCATGAAAAAAAAAAAGAAATTTAAGTTTAATGAGTGTCTTTATATCTGATAAAGATACAGCTAAAGTTTACATCCAATTTTTTTAAGACCAAAATAACCCCAAATCTAGATATTAGTGTAAGAATGAGTTGATCCATATCAGAGATTTTGAAGCTGTTCAAAAAACACGCAGTCATGTATTATCAGGTTTAAAAACTATCAGCTTCGCCTTTAGTTTTTAAACCTGATATTACACTCCTGCTTGCTTTTAAACAGTACATAAAATTTAAATGTTAAAATCCTTAAGTTTCAGCTAAAACTTGGCCTTCATTTTACAAATGCACAAAACTGATGCCTTCAGTCATCAGAGATGGAATTTGCGGCATGACCATTTGAATTTTTGAATATTTCTGTGCTAACTGAAAGTGCTGGTCTACTAAAGGTGGACAGTTTTTTGTCTGTCATCATTAAAGGATTATTTTGGTAGTTTCTGATTGAGGATGTAATATTTGGGACAGGTTTTGTTTCAAAACTATATGTGGCCCAGTTTAGAGATACATGTACAGAGGAAAGCAGCCAGTACTAATACAACGGCATCAATGCTTTTGAATGTAGTGAAAGATAACTACACATTGGAGGAAGATGGGCTTCATGTTTTCCAGCCTCACAGTAAATGAGTAAAAACAAACTGCCAGATTTAGCCAAAAAAGCCTCTGTTGAAAGGCAGTTCACAGTTAACCTGACCACAACCTTACATGTTTTACTCAAATGATAAGTTGTTCACCCTTCTAAGATCTGCGTAGTTCTAAAATCTTTCTGCCTCGATCCATGTAAATAGCCCCTAACAAAAGGTTGTCTTAAGGTTGGTCCACATGCAAAAGTTTTTTTTTAAGGACTAATCACTCACTTGCTTAAAAATGAGTGGGTTCTTCCCAACTTTGTGAGGAGGGATGGGTTCAGCCAAATGTTTTCACTAGTGTCCACCATCCCAGCAATTATGACCAAGGTTGCAGTAGCCTTACATTGTACAGTGAAAAATCACATTTTCTCATTTAGCTTCCGGTATAGGAGGGCTCATTTTCTAACCATAGAAATTACCTTCTTCATCTGAGTCTTCAGTCACATCTCTTTGTCTCATTGGTGCTTGCATGACAGTAAGTTGAAATGGCTTCACACAAACTGGAGAATATTAAATTAAATTTTAAATATTTATAAGCAAAAGAAAATTCCAAAGAAACTATGATAAGTAACACAGTTGTCATGACCACAAGAAAAATAGTTAGTCAGTGGCTACAAGTGTAAAATCTGGCTTCGGTAGGAGCATTAACCATCCACAGATATGCTTGTGAATTTAATTTTTAGGGAAGTTTTTGTTCACAGATCAGGAGTCAGACTGAATTTTTACGGCAAGTACTACAAGTAACACCCTGACAGGTTTTTGTGCTTTAGCATATATGGAATTTTACCTTTTATTTGTTAGGTCAAAATAATCCAAACATAATAATTAAGTTGATAAACTCATGTTTCATCATGTCTAAGCCAGTGATGAGGCATACATTAAAATTTGTGAGTGATTTCCCCTAAAGGAACTTAAAATTTTGATTGGATGTTATGTGACAGAATTGGGCTCAGATTTGCGAATAGCCCACGTTCGATACATATGTATATTAAAATTCTAACAAGACTTCTAGCAGCCTGAGTCGCAGACTCTAGGAAGCAACGCCAATATCATTGTTCTGGCCCCCAACATACTCAACAAATTATCACAGGAAAAAATAACGGATTCCCATTTTTGGATATTTTTGGGTATTTAAAGAATACCCACAAAAATCCCAAATTTGGAAGAGTGAGACAAGTCCCAATCTGGGAACTTGGTTGGGAATTCCCTGGTT